ATACCCGCATCTGTCAACCCCTCACTCTTCTTCCTCATACCCACCTCCGTCAACCCTTCACTCTTCTTCCTCTTACCCACATTCCTCGAACCCTAACTCTTCTTCCTCATACCCACATCCGTCGAACCCTAACTCTTCTTCCTCATAACCACATCCGTCGACCCCTCACTCTTCTTCATCATACCCACATCCGTCGAACCCTCTCTTTTCTTCCTCATACCCGCATCTGTCAACCCCTCACTCTTCTTCCTTATACCCACCTCCGTCAACCCTTCACTCTTCTTCCTCATACCCACCTCCGTCAACCCTTCACTCTTCTTCCTCATACCCACATCCGTCGAACCCTAACTCTTCTTCCTCATACACACATCCATCGACCCTCACTCTTCTTCCTCATACCCACATCTGTCAACCCCTCACTCTTCTTCCTCATACCCACATCAGTTGACCCTCACTCTTCTTCCTCATACCCACATCTGTCAACCCCTCACTCTTCTTCCTCATACCCACCTCCGTCAACCCTTCACTCTTCTTCCTCATACCCACATCTGTCGAACCCTAACTCTTCTTCCTCATACACATATCCATCGACCCTCACGCTTCTCCCTCATACCCACATCTGTCGAACCCTAACTCTTCTTCCTCATACACATATCCATCGACCCTCACTCTTCTTCCTCATACCCACATCAGTCGACCCTCACTCTTCTTCCTCATACCCACATCCTTCGACCCTCACTCTTCTTCCTCATACCCACATCCTTCGACCCTCACTCTTCTTCCTCATACCCACATCCATCGACCCTCACTCTTCTTCCTCATACCCACATCTGTCAACCCCTCACTCTTTTCCTCATACCCACATCAGTTGACCCTCACTCTTCTTCCTCATACCCACCTCCGTCAACCCCTCACTCTTCTTCCTCATACCCACCTCCGTCAACCCTTCACTCTTCTTCCTCATACCCACATCAGTTGACCCTCACTCTTCTTCCTCATACCCACCTCCGTCAACCCTTCACTCTTCTTCCTCATACCCACATCCGTCGAACCCTAACTCTTCTTCCTCATACCCACGTCAATCGACCCTCACTCTTCTTCCTCATACCCACATCTGTCGAACCCTAACTCTTCTTCCTCATACCCACATCCTTCGACCCTCACTCTTCTTCCTCATACCCACATCCGTCGAACCCTCTCTTTTCTTCCTCATACCCGCATCTGTCAACCCCTCACTCTTCTTCCTCATACCCACCTCCGTCAACCCTTCACTCTTCTTCCTCTTACCCACATTCCTCGAACCCTAACTCTTCTTCCTCATACCCACATCCGTCGAACCCTAACTCTTCTTCCTCATAACCACATCCGTCGACCCCTCACTCTTCTTCATCATACCCACATCCGTCGAACCCTCTCTTTTCTTCCTCATACCCGCATCTGTCAACCCCTCACTCTTCTTCCTTATACCCACCTCCGTCAACCCTTCACTCTTCTTCCTCATACCCACCTCCGTCAACCCTTCACTCTTCTTCCTCATACCCACATCCGTCGAACCCTAACTCTTCTTCCTCATACACACATCCATCGACCCTCACTCTTCTTCCTCATACCCACATCTGTCAACCCCTCACTCTTCTTCCTCATACCCACCTCCGTCAACCCTTCACTCTTCTTCCTCATACCCACATCTGTCAAACCCTAACTCTTCTTCCTCATACACATATCCATCGACCCTCACGCTTCTCCCTCATACCCACATCTGTCGAACCCTAACTCTTCTTCCTCATACACATATCCATCGACCCTCACTCTTCTTCCTCATACCCACATCAGTCGACCCTCACTCTTCTTCCTCATACCCACATCCTTCGACCCTCACTCTTCTTCCTCATACCCACATCCTTCGACCCTCACTCTTCTTCCTCATACCCACATCCATCGACCCTCACTCTTCTTCCTCATACCCACATCAGTCGACCCTCACTCGTCTTCCTCATACCCACATCCTTCAAACCTCACTATTTATCTTCATACCCTCATCTGTTGACCCCTCACTGTTCTTCCTCATACCGACATCCGTCGACCCCTCACTCTTCTTCCGCATAACCACATCCATCGACCCTCACTCTTCCCTTGATCCCTAACTCTTCTTCCTCATACCCGCTTCTGTCGACCCTTCACTCTTTATCCTCATCCCTACATCTGTCAACCCCCTCACTCTTCTTCCGCATACCCACATCCATCGACCCTCACTCTTCCCTTGATCCCTAACTCTTCTTCCTCATACCCGCTTCTGTCGACCCTTCACTCTTTATCCTCATCCCTACATCTGTCAACCCCCTCACTCTTCTTCCGCATACCCACATCCATCGACCCTTCACTCTTCCCTTGAACCCTAACTCTTCTTCCTCATAACCACATCCGTCTACCCTCACTCTTCCCTTGAACCCTAACTCTTCTTCCTCATACCCGCATCTGTCAACCCTTCACTCTTTGTCTGCATACCCACATCTGTTAACCCTTCACTCTTCCCTTGAACCCTAACTCTTCTTCCTCATACCCGCATCTGTCAACCCTTCACTCTTTGTCTGCATACCCACATCTGTTACCCTTCACTCTTCCCTTGAATCCTAACTCTTCTTCCTCATACCCACATCCGTCTACCCTCACTCTTCCCTTGAACCCTAACTCTTCTTCCTCATACCCACATCTGTCAACCCTTCACTCTTCCCTTGAACCCTAACTCTTCTTCCTCATACCCACATCCGTCTACCCTCACTCTTCCCTTGAACCCTAACTCTTCTTCCTCATACCCACATCTGTCAACCCTTCACTCTTTGTCCGCATACCCACATCTGCTGACCCCTCACGCTTCTTCCTCATACCCACATCCGTCTACCATCACTCTTCCCTTGAACCCTCACTCTTCTTCCTCATACCCACATTCCTTGAACCCTAACTCTTCTTCATCATGCCCACATTCCTTGAACCCTAACTCTTCTTCATCATGCCCACATCCGTCGACCCTCACTCTTCTTCATCATACCCACATCAGTCGCCCCTCATTCTTCTTCGTCATATGCACATCAGTCAACCCTCACTTTTCTTGATCATACCCATATCTGTTGACCCTCACTCGTCTTCCTCATACCCACATCCTTCAAACCTCACTATTTATCTTCATACCCTCATCTGTCGACCCCTCACTGTTCTTCCTCATACCGACATCCGTCGACCCCTCACTCTTCTTCCGCATAACCACATCCATCGACCCTCACTCTTCCCTTGAACCCTAACTCTTCTTCCTCATACCCGCTTCTGTCGACCCTTCACTCTTTATCCTCATCCCTACATCTGTCAACCCCCTCACTCTTCTTCCGCATAACCACATCCATCGACCCTTCACTCTTCCCTTGAACCCTAACTCTTCTTCCTCATAACCACATCCGTCTACCCTCACTCTTCCCTTGAACCCTAACTCTTCTTCCTCATACCCGCATCTGTCAACCCTTCACTCTTTGTCTGCATACCCACATCTGTTAACCCTTCACTCTTCCCTTGAACCCTAACTCTTTATCCTCATACCCACATCTGTCAACCCTTCACTCTTCCCTTGAATCCTAACTCTTCTTCCTCATACCCACATCCGTCTACCCTCACTCTTCCCTTGAACCCTAACTCTTCTTCCTCATACCCACATCTGTCAACCCTTCACTCTTCCCTTGAACCCTAACTCTTCTTCCTCATACCCACATCCGTCTACCCTCACTCTTCCCTTGAACCCTAACTCTTCTTCCTCATACCCACATCTGTCAACCCTTCACTCTTCCCTTGAACCCTAACTCTTCTTCCTCATACCCACATCCGTCTACCCTCACTCTTCCCTTGAACCCTAACTCTTCTTCCTCATACCCACATCTGTCAACCCTTCACTCTTTGTCCGCATACCCACATCTGCTGACCTCTCACGCTTCTTCCTCATACCCACATCCGTCTACCCTCACTCTTCCCTTGAACCCTCACTCTTCTTCCTCATACCCACATTCCTTGAACCCTAACTCTTCTTCATCATGCCCACATCCGTCGACCCTCACTCTTCTTCATCATACCCACATCAGTCGACCCCTCATTCTTCTTCATCATACCCACATCAGTCGACCCCTCATTCTTCTTCGTCATATGCACATCAGTCAACCCTCACTTTTCTTGATCATACCCATATCTGTTGACCCTCACTCTTCTTCATCATACCCACATCCATCGACTCTCACTTTTCTTGATCATACCCACATCCGTCGACTCTCACTCTTCTTCATCATTCCCACATCCCTTGAACCCTCACTCTTCTTCATCCTTCACGCATCTGTCGACTCCTCACTCTTCTTCCTAATACCCACATCCCTCACACCCTGATCCTTCTTCCTCATCTCTCTATCTCTTCGTCTTTGTATCGTCCAGCTGGACCTTTAATCCATTTTGCCACCTTCCTTCCACCTTTTATTTTACACAGCAGTCACAGCACCGTTCACAAACAGAACATACCATTTGGACCATTATTATAGTATAGTATAGTATAGTATAGTATTTACAACCCAATTTCATATCCATTGATTTAAATTCTCTTTTCTGACTTTTCTCATTTCAAAACATTCTAAAATAATTTTTTCCATGTTCCATGAGCTCTGTCACAATCTACCCATGTGCTCACTGCATCTGCAGAAGAACCCCAGACTCACCCTGATTAGGAACACTTGTCAATAATACTATGAAGTACACACTGGTTACTACAGATTATACTGAGCTGCTCTACCAGTACTGCAGAGTGAAGTAGTGTATCTACTAACAAGACGGGTTAATCTGGAGATTTCATTGTCACTGCAGATGGAAAAACAAGAATGTGTCCAATGCTGTGTGTTCATACTCTGGAGACTCCGCCCCTCACATAACTCACCTGAGACAAACCAGGAAAACAGGTTGTTGTTCTGCCTCACTGAGACGAGACACACTGAGAGTCAGATGGTAAGACCCTTCAGACCAAAACCAGCACTTCCACTGAGAGAGGACAGCTACAGGAGGGATACTGGGAATACTGGGAATACGACCACTTCAACCTGCTGCTGAATCCACAAACTGAACAAGAATTTGACGAGAACAAAGACTCAAAAAGAAGGTAACTTTCAGGGCCGTTACTGAAGGACGGAGTGGCTGACTGTTTCCTGTCTGAGCGTCTGCCTGCTGTGACTTCAGCTTCACTCAGAGACTAAATGGCTTCCAGATTAGAGGAAGATCTCTGCTGTCCTGTCTGCCAGGACATCTTTAAAGATCCTGTCATCCTGTCATGTTGCCACAGCTTCTGTAAAGGCTGTCTGCAGAGCTGGTGGAAAGAAAAAGGAAGTCGGGAGTGTCCAGTTTGTAAGAGGAGACATTCAAAGGAAATGCTGCCTCCTAACTTTGCTTTAAAGAACCTGTGTGAGAGTTTCCTACAGGAGAGAGATCAGAGAGCTTCAGAGGCTCTCTGCTGTCTGCACTCTGAGAAACTCAAACTCTTCTGTCTGGACCATCAGCAGCCAGTGTGTGACACCTGCAGAGATTTAGAAAAACACATCAATCACAGATTTATACCCATCGATGAAGCTGCACGACAACACAAGAAGGAACTTCAGGAAACTCTGAAATCCTTAAAGGAGAAGTTAAAGGTTTGTGAACAAGTTAAAGTGAAGTTTGATCAAACAGCAGAACACATGAAGGTCCAGGCCCGACACACAGAGAGGCAGATTAAGGAGCAGTTTAAGAAGCTTCAGCAGTTTCTAGAGGAGGAAGAGGAGGCCAGGATGGCTGCACTGAGGGAGGAAGAGGAGCAGAAGAGTCAGATGATGAAGGAGAAGATGGAGGCTCTGAGCAGAGAGATAGCAGCTCTTTCAGACACAGTCAGAGCCACAGAGGAGGAGCTGAGAGCTGAAGACGTCTCATTCCTGCTCAACTACAAGGCTGCAGTGGAAAGAGTCCAGCAGCGCCCCCTGCTGGATGATCCACAGCTGCCCTCAGGAGCTCTGATAGACCAGGCCAAACACCTGGGCAACCTGACCTTCAACATCTGGAACAAGATGAAGGACATGGTCTCCTACACTCCTCTCATTCTGGACCCAAACACTGCTCACGCAAGACTACTTCTCTCTGAAGATCTGACCAGTGTAAGAGAAGGAGAGAGACAGCAGCTTCCTGACAATCCAGAGAGGTTTGATGGTTCCTGGTGTGTCCTGGGCTCTGAGGGCTTTAACTCAGGGACTCACAGCTGGGATGTCGAGGTTAAAGACAGTACAGGCTGGGAACTGGGTGTGTTAGCAGAGTCTGTCCAGAGGAAGGGAGTCATACGGTCTGGATTATGGATAATATGGTTCAATAGAGGTAAATACTCAGCGCAGTCACCACTGTCTCAACCCACTGATCTCAGAGTGCAGAAGAAGCTCCAGAGGATCAGAGTGAATCTGGACTGGAACAGAGGAAAGCTGTCGTTCTCTGATCCTGATACTAACACACACATACACACCTTCACACACACTTTCACTGACAGGATGTTTCCATTCGTTGGCACTTTCAAAAAAAATACCCTGAAGGTTTTACCACTGAAGATCTGTGTGACTGTAGAACAACAGAAATAGAAGGTGATGATGATGATGATGGATTCTGAGGAGCATGTGAATGTGTTGTCCTGGTGACTCGTTGATGGTCATGGTGATGTTTTGCTAAACACTAATAGCCATGTATACATTAATGCTGTAGTTTTCATTGTGCTGTTTCTGTTGATGTGTTGTACATGAAGTTTTCATATATGATCTAACGGTGAACCAGTGAATTAAAGACTTCATGAGTTTTCAGGATGTAAATAATGAGAGTTTATCGAACTGTTGTAAATGTAGTGAAAGTAAAGTCATCTTTCAATAAAACACTGTTGAGCAGATTCACTCTGAATCCCGGTTTACAGCTGAGGTCTCCAGAGAGAACAGTTTGGTACAAATCTCAAGCCATGGTTCTCAGCAAGAAACCGATGGAGAGCTCACTCCGGGTAGGGAATGAGTCCTTACCCCATGTGAGGGAGTTCCAATACCTTGGGGTCTTGATTGCGAGGGGACAATGGAGCAGCCGGGGCGGTATTGCATTCGCTGTATCGCATCTTTGTGACGAAAAGAGAGGTGAGCAGTAGTCACGAAGACTGGGTCATGACTGAAAGAACTAGATTGCAGGTACAAGAGGCCGAAATGGGTTATCTCAGGAGGGTGGCTCGCCTCTCCCTTAGAGATAGGGTGAGAAGCCAAGTCATAATAATAATAAGAAGAATCCATCCACTGTCAACTGCTTATCCTGCGTACAGGGTCGCAGGGGGGCTGGAGCCAATTCCAGCTGACATCGGGCGCAAGGCGGGGTACACCATGGACAGGTTGCCAGTCCATCGCAGAGCCACACATAGACGAACAACCACTCACGCTCACACTAACACCTAAGGACAATTTAGGGTAACCAATCAACCTAGCCTGCTTGTCTTTGGATGGTGGGAGGAATCTGGAGCACCTGGAGAGAACCCACGCAGACACGGGGAAACATGCAAACTCCACACAGAAAGGCCGGGACAACCTGGGTTTGAACCCACGACCTTCTTGCTGTAATGCAACAGTGCTAACAGTGCTTAATAATAACTTATATTTATATAGCGCCTTTCACGAGACCCAAGGAGCCTTTACACATAATTGCAGAGACAGAGCAATAAAAAGACATTCAGGGTTGAATGCCTTTGTGTAGAGGTAGGCTTTTAGGAGTTGTTTGAAGGTGTCCAGAGAGAGAGTTGCAGAGGGTGGGGGCTGCGACGCTGAAGGTTCTGTCCCCAAAGGTCCGCTGTCTGGTGCTGGGGACAGAGAGCAGGCCCTTGTCGGTGGAACGCAGGTTCCATGAGTGGGAGTAGGGGTGGAGAAGGTCCAGTAGGTACTGGGGGGCAGTGTCATGGAGAGATTTATAGGTGAGGAGTAGGATTTTGTACCTGGCAGCCGAGTTCTGGACATATTGTAGCCTGTACAGGACACCATACAGGACACCATTACAGTAGTCCAAACGGGAGGTGATGAAGACATGGATGAGAGACTCTGCCACAGAGTCTGAGAGTGATGGCCGAAGTCTGGAGAATTTTTTTGAGGTGGTAGAAAGCAGATTTGGTAATGAGTTTGACATGTGACTGGAAGGAAAGGGTGGAGTCCAAAATGACTCCAAGGTTGCGGACTTCTTGGGATGGAGAGATGGAGCAACCATCCACTTTGTAGATCACCTACCCTCAGGAGCAGCGGCTTGAAAGCCACTACCATTAGCTCCATTTTGCTGCTGTTCAGCTTGAGTAGATTGGATGACATCCAGGTTTTTATTTCATCAGACAGTTAACAAGTGACAGAGGGGGACGCTGAGTGGATGGTTTGGTGCTGATATACAGCTGTGTGTCATCAGCATAACAGTGGAAACTGAGACCATGGTGATGTATTATCTGGCCGAGTGGGAGCATGTAAATGGTGAAAAGGAGGGGTCCAAGCACAGGGCTTTGAGGCCCACCTTGTTTGACAGGAGCCAGGGGGGAGCTGGAGGCTCTAAAGGTGATGAACTGTTCCCTATTGGAGAGATATGACTGAAACCAGGAGAGTGCTGAACCAGTGAGGCCAACACATTCAGATAGACGGTTGAGAGGGATGGCGTGGGACACTTTGTCAAAGGCTGCAGAGAGATCTAGAAGAATGAGGATGCTGATATCTCCAGAATCAGCGGCAATGAGGAAGTCATTAGTGATTTTGATGAGGGCGGTGTCAGTGCTGTGATGTGCTCTGAAGCCAGATTAAAGTCATCCGTGAGGAACTCGGAGTAGAGCCGCTGAATTAAGAATAGTGGTGGCTCGGGCATCTGGTAAGGATGCCCCCCCTGGGTGCCTCCCTAGGGAGATGTTTTACGCAGGTCCAGTTGGGAAGAGGCCTTGGGGAAGACCCAGGACTAGATGGAGAGATATTAGCACACTGGCCTGGGAACATCTCAGGATCCCCCAGTCAGAGCTGGTTAATGCGGGAAAGGGAGGTTTGGGGTCCCCTGCTGGAGCTGCTGCCCTGTGACCCGACCCTGGATAAGAGGTAGAATGTTAGGAATGTGGTTTGTGTTCATGTTTTTCTGTTTAAGTTCTGTTTCTGTGGTTCTGTGCTTCTCTGTGCTTTGTTCAGTATTTTGTTCCTTCGCGTGTTTAACTTGACTTAGTATCTGTCTTGTCTCTTATCTTAGTTCTTAGTTGTGCGTTCTAGTTCTTTGCCTCAGGTCCTAGTCTAGTGCCTTAGTTTTTAGTCCTGTGCTTTGGTTCATGTTTAGTGTTATTCCTGGTGTGTGTACTTCTGTGTTTTATTATTTTGGTCTTGTCTATCTTGTGTTCTGTTTCATCATAGTCTCTGTCGGTTTGGTTGTAGTTAGTTTCTCGTTTTCTGTTTTACTTTGGTAACTCTGTCCTTGTGTTTTCCCATATGCTTTACCTCCTGTTTTATTTTGTAGTGTTCAGTTCTCATGTGTGCTTGTCTAGCTTTGTTTCCTGTTGTTTGATTGCTCGTGTGTTTCACCTGTGTATAATTGCCCTGCCTGCCTCTGTGTGTGCGTGTGGTGGTCCCATGTATTTCTAGCCTCAGTTCTCTTCATTCTTTGTGACATGCTTTGTCAGTGTTGACTGACGGATCCAGACCTATGTGTTCACACTCTGAAGAGACTTTGACCCTCACGAGACACACTGAGAGTCAGACGGTAAGACTCCCCTTCAGACCAAAACCAACACTTCCACTGAAAGAGGACAGCTACAGGAGGGATACTGGGAATACGACTACTTCAACCTGCTGCTGAATCCACAAACCGAACAAGAGTTTGATCAGACTCAAAGTGAAGATAACTTTCAGGGCCGTTACTGAAGGAGGGAGTGGCTGACTGTTTCCTGTCTGAGCGTCTGCCTGCTGTGACTTCAGCTTCACTCAGAGACTAAATGGCTTCCAGATTAGAGGAAGATCTCTGCTGTCCTGTCTGCCAGGACATCTTTAAAGATCCTGTCATCCTGTCATGTAGGCACAGCTTCTGTAAAGGCTGTCTGCAGAGCTTGTGGACAGAGAGAGGAAGTCGGGAGTGTCCAGTTTGTAAGAGGAGACATTCACAGGAAGGACTGCCTCCTAACTTTGCTTTAAAGAGCCTGTGTGAGAGTTTCCTACAGGAGAGAGATCAGAGAGCTTCAGAGGCTCTCTGCAGTCTGCACTCTGAGAAACTCAAACTCTTCTGTCTGGAACATCAGGAGCCAGTTTGTGTCATCTGCAGAGACTCAGAAAAACACAGCAACCACAGATTCAGACCCATCGATGAAGCTGCACAACAACACAAGAAGGAACTTCAGGAAACTCTGAAATCCTTAAAGGAGAAGTTAAAGGTTTGTGAACAAGTTAAAGTGAAGTTTGATCAAACAGCAGAACACATGAAGGTCCAGGCCCGACACACAGAGAGGCAGATTAAGGAGCAGTTCAAGAAGCTTCAGCAGTTTCTAGAGGAGGAAGAGGAGGCCAGGATGGCTACACTGAGGGAGGAAGAGGAGCAGAAGAGTCAGATGATGAAGGAGAAGATGGAGGCTCTGAGCAGAGAGATAGCAGCTCTTTCAGACACAGTCAGAGCCACAGAGGAGGAGCTGAGAGCTGAAGACGTCTCATTCCTGCTCAACTACAAGGCTGCAGTGGAAAGAGTCCAGCAGCGCCCCCTGCTGGATGATCCACAGCTGCCCTCAGGAGCTCTGATAGACCAGGCCAAACACCTGGGCAACCTGACCTTCAACATCTGGAACAAGATGAAGGACACGGTCTCCTACACTCCTCTCATTCTGGACCCAAACACTACTGGTCAAGAACTCATCCTGTCTGAAGATCTGACCAGTGTGAGACGAGGAGAGAGACAGCAGCTTCCTGACAATCCAGAGAGGTTTGATTACTGCTGTGTCCTGGGCTCTGAGGGCTTTAACTCAGGGACTCACAGCTGGGATGTCGAGGTTGGAGACAGTACAGGCTGGAGACTGGGAGTGTTATCAGAGTCTGTCCAGAGGAAGGGAGACATACGGTCTGGATTATGGAGAATAGGGTTCATTGGAGGTAACTACTTAGCACTGTCACCACCAGCTCCATCTGTTCTCAGTGTGCAGAAGAAGCTCCAGAGGATCAGAGTGAATCTGGACTGGAACAGAGGAAAGCTGTCGTTCTCTGATCCTGATACTAACACACACATACACACCTTCACACACACTTTCACTGACAGGATGTTTCCATATCTCAGCACTTTTGATAACAACCCACTGAAGATTTTACCAGCGAAGGTCTGTGTGACTGTAGAACAATATAATGAGGATGAGGATGAGAGCATGTGACTGTGTCCTGGTGATTTGTTGTTGACCTGTGTAACAACAAATCAGCAGAAAACATCTGGGCTAAAAAGAGGTGGTGATGGAACAGTGGATAAGACGCATGCTTCTGGTGTGAGAGACTTGGGTTCGAACCCCACTGTGACCCGTCTACCATTGTGTCCCTGAGACACTTAACCCCTCCTTGCTCCAGAGGGGTTCGACCTCTGACATAAATAGCAGTTATAGTCACATTGGCTAAATGAATAAATGTAAGACGATGATCTGTGAGGAACATGTTCACTCTGCTCTACAAGCTGAGCAGCGTCCTGCAGCTTTAGCACAGATGCTAACTCTGCTCACTGTGACTCCAGTTCAATAACACGCTGTTTATTCCAGCTGATTAAAGGTGTGAATGTTGGTGTCGAAATAACAAAGTTACACAAAGTTCTTTACTTCATTTTGGATGTTTGGTTGTTCATTCAGGATTTATTCATCTTTAAATTAAACAAGTGAACGCTCCTGCTGTGAGTCACAGATTTAACCGCTGAATCAGTCATTTCATGTTTTTTCCTCTTTTCATTTGGTAAAAGTCGACCTTTCTGCTGAATAATCAACATAATTTATGAACCATGATCAAATCCAGCAGCAGCGCTTATTATTATTTTAGAAAGAATTCAAGATAAATATACAAAGTTGGTCCACCTGCTAAATATTAATAGACTGTAGATTTCATTGTGTTGTTTCTGTTGATAAAGTTGTCATATTTGATCTAACGAAGAACCAGTGAATTAAAGATTTTAAGGATGTAAATAGTGAGAGTTTTTCAAACTGCTGTAAATTTTGCATGATTTCGGTACTACTAACTAGCATAAAAAACAGCATTTCCCCTCTGCCCTGAAAAATCCTGCATCAAACAGGAAGTTGATCCTAAAAAGCAAGCGTTAAGAGAAATGACATGTGCTTCAGTTTTAATGTGAGGGTTTAAAATGTGATGACTAATATACTGTGGATATAATGATATGCAAACATGTGTGCTGTAATAGTGTATCAAAATAAATTCTGCAATAACGTTTATGTTTTTATGTGATGAAATGTATCCCTAGGTTTCATATTTACACTGGGGACATGTCCCTCCCACAAGAAATGTTAATTAGCAAATGAAAATTCTCTAAGCAGGTTCATTGGCACAAGAAGTAAAAATATATATATCTATATTCAAATATAGAAACAAATGTCCAAAACAAACAAACAGCTTCTCAACACAGTTTCTTATTCCAGCTTTCCGTTCTCTCCCTGTGAACATGACAAAAGAGGAGGGAAGACTAAATCCTTCCTGCGTGCGTGCTGACCCGGCAGGGTGATATTCCCTGGGCCGTCCACAAACGGGCCAAATGCTGCTGCAAGGATGTTGAGCAGGTCACATTCCACCAATCCTGTCTTCACTTCACTGGCTCCCTGTCAAGTTCAGGATTCACTTCAAAGTGCTCCTTTTGACATACAGAGCCCTGCAGGGTCAGGCACCCGGGTACAACTCAGACCTGCTCCACCTGTGGACCACCGCTAAGCCCCTCCTCACACCAAGACCTCCTAATTGTCTGAAAACTACAGGTGACCGTGCATTTCAAGTGTTGGGACCGACTCTGTGGGGCGCTCCTCCCACAGACCTTGGCTCCGGTGTCTCCGTTAAAGACTTTTATTAAAGCAGGCCTTTACTCAGATATTAAATGTGTCCAATCTTGAATCCAACATAGTGCGTCCTCGTCGCTTTGGATGCCTTATGAAGGAGTTCACCGTCACTTTCTGTGTCCCCTGTGTGGCACAGAAGAACAGCCACAAAGCATACCTACTGTGCGTCATGTATTTCAGGTAAATCAAATGATTGTGTCAGAGTTTTCTTCCTGTTTCCAGCAGGTGACGCTATGAGCTTGAGTGAATATCGGCCTGCAGATGTGTTCAGGGCGGGACTCTTATCAAACATGTAAAGTTTGGTGCAGATGTGAGCATGTAAAGAACTTCCTGTTTCAATCTGCACCATCGATTTTCTACGCCACGCCACAAACACGCCCTTTGGCGAAATCTCACAGATAGCACAACTTTTCATCGTCAATACCTTTAGATTGCACAGCGAAAATACGAAGTCTATCCGATTAATTCCATCGGAGGAGTTCGTTAAAGTAATGGACCTGTAAATGGTGAAAAATTGTCTAAAATTGCACTCTCAATTCAAAATGGCGGACTTCCTGTTGGGTCTATGTTAAGAAGCTTTTTTGTGTGTCTTGGGATGCACATGCGTGGGAAACTAAATTTATTTGACGAGACATTTTGTTTTATTTTATTCCGATCAAAGATCCGAGATGTTGGATGTTATTTTTGTGTACAGACACTGAAAACAACAAACGCCTTCTACTAACAGAGAATCTAAAACTCAGTCTCCCAGAATCCTTTGCGCGATCACGGCGCGATCTCCCGCCCGCTGTGAAAATCTCCCGGCATGCTTTTCTGCAGGGCCGAGAAGAAGAAGAAGAAGAGGCGTCATGATGGAGTCCGCTGGTGGCTAACGTGATAAAAACCTTCTTTAACTCCAGTTGAATAAAGTTTGAGCCGCTCATGTTTGTTCAGAGCAAAGCTTAACGGAAGAATCTGCCGGTTAATGAGAGCTAGGTAGATAAACTCTGCAGCGGAGACTGTCGGTGAGTGTTTTAGCTGCAGCGCGTTGTTGTTGTTGTAACACCGGGCCGCCATTTACCTCCGCAACCAAACACAACACAACACCCCTGAACACAGCGCCCAGCGCGGCGCTTTATCCGGATTAAAACGCCACATTTAGCTGCACTCGTAGTCCGGAGACACCAGCGGGGGGCAGCGCCGTGTTTACAGGCTCCAGGACCTGCTAACGGCTAGCCTGTTAGCAACGTTAGCCGCGCAAGCTAACCGTGTTAGCAGCAGCAGCGTCTCCCGGTAACTTCAGCGTGCTAAGGGTTCTCAATAAACCGCTGTGTTCTGGAGAACCCGCTGAGTGACTGCCTGTAACTTCGTGTTTAAACCTTGTGTCCGGCTCTTAGCTCTTAGCTCACAGCGAGCTAGCGTTAGCTCCGTGCTAGCTGCCGGATTAGCAGCGGAACCTCGTGTTTCAGACAGTTTGGTGTCCGCGGTTCCTCTCGGGGACTCCAGCTGTGTACCGGGTTTGTGAGGACCCTTAGTGTCCGGGTGAAGGGCTTCAGCGTTAACAGGTGGAGTTCAGTGAGTGATGGAGGTGCAGCAGGTTCTGGTCCTGCTGGTCCTGTGTTGCTGGCTCATGTGGTCAGACGGGTTGTGGCTTCAGGTCTGAGATCAGGACCTGGTGTATAATCTGGGTTGGCTCATTGCAGAGCTGCTGTCTTCAGTTGGGACTGAGATTGGAGGAAGTTGGGCTTTCTGTGAGGTCGGAGGTCATCACTCTTCAGTACAAGATGTGTAGATGAGAAACCAACCAGTAACCAGGTGTAGATCCGTGTGATCAGCACCCGCCACGCTCCAGACATCAGGAGACCGAACCTGACAGTAACTGAGCGTCAGGCGGCTTTCCTGTCTGCTTTTTTTTCCAGCGTTAAACACTTAATTTCCTGAATTCTGGTGGAAATGTTATGCAAAGGGAAACAAAACTCAGGCGCCACGTGACGATAGAACATATAAAATAAAACCGAATATAAAGCAGTGTTTGAGTTTGAAAGCTGTCTGTTTCTTTGCTTCATGTTTCTGTCTTCCCTCCTGGGGAGGTGACCTCTGGCTGCTTTTCACCTCCACCAGAACTGAATTCAGTCAGAAACTCCTGGACTTTCACAGCTCCTGTGTTTCAGCAGCTTCTCTGCAGAATCAGTTAACAACATCACTTAAACTTTTGTTTTCCAGTGCGAGAGGAAATAAATGTGTGAAAAGCGTCGGTGCGTGAGAGTCGGCAGCTCTGCGCTGTGTGGCCCCTGTGATTTCCTCTTAATTTAGCCTCGGACTGCTCCTGTTTTCTGGCTCTGGGATTATCAGCAGCCAGTTTTCTCACAGCCAAGTCTCTGAGGTCACTTAGTTTGACGCGCTGCTGTTCCTCTTCTAAAATCTAACAGACGTGTTCATACAAATGTCTGTGCTGATGCTGGTTTGTGTTGGGAGCGCAGGGAGGCGTGTCATTTCCTGTGTTTGGTGTCACGTGATTTAAAGATCTTTATCGGTCAGGGTCCAGAACGAGTCTTTAGACCCTGAGAGTCCCTTCAGAGCAGCAGGGAGGGTGTTTCAGAGATCATGTGATTTACCTGCGAGAGAAACTGGACGTAACGAGTCGTCCATCAGCTCGCTGTGACGCTCGGGTTAAACGAGTTGGGTCTGCAGGGACCACCTCTGAACAGGAACCTGCTTCAGCAGAACAGCTGAGCGATCAGAAAGCTTTGTTGTGTAGTATTTTCCATGTGCGGTGGTGGTCAGGTGCCAAACATCAGTAACTGTAAAGATGGAATAAACGTTTCTTACACTTCAGATTAGTGTTAGAGGGGAGGACTGGGATTAAAAATGAAGAATAATAAATGCACGCAGCTACACTTATGAGGAGGCGGTCAGCTAGTGTTGTATATAAAACTGTCTTCACCTTTAAACGCTGTTACAGCAGGTGTGGACGCGTGTTTGGTCTTGTTGATGTCGGTGCTAAAGAGTTCCTGCGTCACTGATGCAGATTTATTACCGTCCTGTCAGTCCGTCTTGGTTCCTCAGAGAGCTCGGTCAGACGTCAGCTGCGTTCTAGTGAGCGACAAACAAAGTCTGATGCGCTCTACAGGTACATCAGAGCTGCTGTTTGATAGGCTGAGAGATCAGCTGATCAGTCTAAGAACAGCGATCCCCGTGTGAATCCTCAGCAGTGGAACCGGACCCAGCCTGGTTCTATCTGGACTTTAGCACTCGGTCTGCCCCCCCCGGTGGTGGTCGCTCAGTGAAACGGGGATCACAGCGTGGGTTTAGACGCAGCAGGTGGTGTCGTTGGCTGACCTGCGCTCAGTACTGATCAGCACACGTCACAGGGAGTGTTTGTATGCTGCGTTCACTGACGGCGGGAGTTCTCGCTGTCACCAGCTGGTTGTTAGTAGCAGACACTCAGACGTGTTCCGGTGTTACAGATAAAAACATTACCGGGATCATAAATGAACACAGAGAGAGAGCAGTAGTCACATCGCAGAAGAACACAATGTCCGGCAGTCAAATAAGCTGATTTTTGCTGATGTATACTGAAGGAAAACTTGCACACTTCCTGTTTTTCACGACTTTTCTACAAGAGAAATCTGTCTGATGTCACATAATTGAATCTGATTTAACGGTTCTTGGATAAGCAAAGTCCGTTGCTGATGGGTGACGGCGGGCTCTGCGTGCACAGCGACCAGCGATAACGTTGTTTAGCGTGAAAACCACCGACGCTGTGCGTTTGTTTGGTTCAGAGTTCTAGTTTAGTTAAAAGGCATTCGTGCTCCAGAAAGGATGGTTTGCACTCAGACCTTCCAGATCACACAGTCATTCTAGGACGCTTCATTTCAAATCAGTCAAGTCAGTCTTTTCTAACTTGGTCTCTGGCTCGGGGTCCGTCCTGCTGCGTTTCCTCCCGTCCAGGCTGAAAACGCCGCTGAGCCCGTTCTGGTTTTAACCTCCGGGGCGGCGTGTTCGTGCCGACGGGTGGAAACGATGAGATCAATGACGGCGGTAGCTTCATGTTGTTGCGTGTTTAATTTAAAAAGGACGAGGACAAACGCAGAGGACGGATGTTTCAGTGTCCCGCACAGAGACGGGTGTGGTTAGCTTAGCACAAAGATGGAACGGTTAGCGTAGCTGCACCGTAAAGAAGTCCAGCAGGAGTTCTGGTATTTAAGGCGAGACGCGGCGGGACGGCCGAGGTTTCATCCTTCACTGCTGCTCCTCAGCCGTCAGTCTGATGTTGTTGTTGTTGTTGTAGGATCTGATCAGATATTGGCTCTGTAAAGATTGATGTGTAGAACTTTACTCTTCATACGAGCTGCCGCACGTCTTCACAGGCCGTTAACTCCCGTTACAGGTCGCGGTGGATATTTT